TAATGTTAGTATTACTCTGATAAAATTATCTATGTACCGTTACGTATGTAACATGTGTATGTGTGTGTAATGTTGTGCGACGATCTATTATATAGAAATGCTGCAATAAGCATTGTTGTTAAGGAAAGTGCAATTACTGAGACTTAAGTCCTCTGCTCTCCACATGTTCCTGAGTTGAGAATTACTGAATTGGAGATTGTCTCTACAAGATGAGGAAGGAGGCACCTTTGTTGTCCCACTTCAGAAGGGCTCTGTGAAGGACAGTGGCTTTAGAGCTGTGCCAATGTGGTTGCAGTTACTGTGTTAAATCCTGGGCATGGAAGTCGTCATAACTGCTCGTTGTTTACTTGACTCTTTTTATTTCACTTTGATGCCTATTTGTGCCGGGCCGGGCCGGGCCGTTGCTGTCAGTGATAGCAACCTGTGGATGTGCTCACTGAGATTTAGTGTGGCTATTTCTTCACGTGTTACATGGGCATAATTAACTAAAGGGTTAGTTAGGTACCATTTTACAGAGGCTGGAAATGGCTTTACAGGTAAACAGCGGGTCAAACTCTGTCTGATGGAAGCACGCGTCTCATCAGGCCAATGCTGAGGCTGACGTGCCCTTCCTCTCTTGTCGTCTCTAATTTCCGTCTTTTCTCTTTCGTCCGTCAGTGCAGTCTTGGCCCTACGTAGCTGCATGCCCTCTTCCTTCTGTCTCTAAGACCACCTCTTTATGATTCCTCCTATATTCGTAGTCTGTATGAGGGACTCATGGCCGAGTAGTCATGAGTACACCGTTTCATCTTGGAATTCAACCTGGAAGGGGACAAATGGATCCATAGCTCTCTTAGCTGTTATTTAATTTACCGTTTTTGATTATGACAATAAATGGTTTCGAAATCCCTGGGAATTCTGCTTATTGGGGTTATTTTTCACTTCCATATCTAGTTTATCTACTTGGACTTTTTATTTCCTAGTAAGATGTTAATGGAGATAAAGATAATATGACGTGGTTAATAACAAGAGAATACCAACTGGAGCAACATGAGGACTGGCATTCTACTCATCGGGTTGGGAACAGTGCTAAAAGGCTGACGATATGTATCTGCACGAGTGTGTGGACTCAGGCACTGCTGGGAGTCAAAGCACAGGTCCTGAAGCTGGCTGAGCCTTGGCCTGGGTCTGCCCCACAGCGGTGACCTTGGGCGGGGCCCCACTGCTCCTCACTGCGTGTCCCACCTGCAAATGAGAGAACAGTCGTGCCTGTCTCACAAGGCTGCTGTAAGAATAGTTAATGTACATAGAACATGTAGAACAGCACACTGCATGAAACAGTGCAATGCAAGTCTGGTAAATCCAAAGATAATACCCATATGCTGTTGGTGGGAATGCAAAATGATTGTCTTTTTGGAAATTATTTAGGCTTTGTTAAAATTTTAAGTGTATATGCTTTTGGATTTTTCTCTTCACTTTCTATATACGTATCTTACAGTAATATTTCTAACTGTAGAAAAATTAAATAAATGATCATATATTCATATTACTGAATACCATCTAACAGTTAAACCAGGACAGTTCATTGGTTTGTGCAGTACACATACTATACATGTTCATCTGCACACGCACACACACATAGGAAGATCTGCAAGATGTATTAGGTGAGAAGGTGCAGAAGAAGATGCATATTGTGGTTCTGCTTTTCTTTGATTATAAATGTATTTGGGTGTGCACACACTTTATATGGAAATGCACATTAAAGAGGCTGGGACTTCACATATGACAGTGTTGGTAGTAGCTACCTGTGGACTGGAGGGGTCGAGAACAGGCGAGACTTTCCCTGTTGCTCTGTGTTCCCGTGTGGTGGTTGACTTGTCCACACGAAGGATGTGCTCATGTGTTAGTCATGTTGTATGTGCTCACGTGTTACTCATGTTGTTTGTTTTAAAGTTTCATGAAAAGAAGACTGTGCAGTGACCTAAGAGATCAGTCTTCAGGCCAGAGGCGGAGAAGCTGTCGGTAAAGGCGACAGGCTGCTGTCTGGGTCTGGGGACGGTCTCTGCTCTGGCTCCGAGCCCCACCAACCCCAGTACTTACTCAGGCAGCTCGGTTACCGCTCTGTGCCTTAGTTACTAGTCTGTAAAGTGGGGGAGCAGTGGTGACTGCGTAAGTTTGTATGTTAAGTGCTTCAGTGTATATGAAGGGCTCAGGATGGTGCCAGCACACAGCAGCATCAGGAAGCCAGGGCTGTCGCACTACAGGTTTTTCAGGGAAATTGAGTGACGGAACCAGGAGTGCCGTCATCTGTGGTGAGCTGGGGTAACAAGGCCGAGTACTGTGTCTAGGAATTCATGTGCTTCTGTTCTGCCTTAACGCATGTACTTTGCAAATCTGCAAAGAAAAGAACCTAGGGGCCTCAGTTTTCTCTAACTAGCAAGGGAGTCTGTTAGATATGAAAACATAGCAGTAAATTAAAGTAATACAGGGTTAGTCTTGTTGGTTTACCTTTTGAGTATACTCAGTCTTCCATAACTATCGTTTTGTAAACTTAATTGAAAATTTCCTGTGACAAAGTTCGTAATTTTAAGGTCTTTAATTATCACATGTATGAGTCTTTCATCTCATTCACTATTATTAAATGTAGGAGAGCGGATCTCACAACTAAGACAACAGATTGTACGTTGTCGAATCCTAGAAGAACCTTTCCCTCCTGGCTTCTCCTGTACAGTACTGGTCTGCCACCACATGCCCATGTTCTTGAAACTTCCTATACTTGGGCTGTGTCATGGCTAGTCCAGCATTTTGCTTTCATGTGGCTTTTTAAAATAAAAATGTGTAACTTTATATTACTCAGTGTATTAGTTTCCTAGGGATCTCATGACAACACACCTCAAACTGGGCGTGTTAAACAGCAGAAGCTTCTCCCACAGTTCTAGCGTCTAGACGCCTGGAATCAAGGTGTCAGCAGAGCTGGTTCCTCTGAGGCCTTGAGGGAGAGTCTGCTCAAGGCCTCTCTCTCCAGCTCCTGGGTGTGCCGGCAGTCCTTGGCGTTCCTTCCCTTGTAGACACATCCCCCTGGTCTGCCTCTGTCGTCACGTGGCCTTCTCCCTGTGTCCGTGTCTCTGTCCCTTTTTTCTCTTCATTTAAGGACACTGGTCACTGGATTTAGGCCCTCCGCCTTCCAGTGTGACTTCATCTTCACTGATTCTAGCTGCGAAGACCCTATTTCCCCATAAGGTCACATTCAAGACAGTGGGGATTAGGACAGCGGGATATCTTTTGGGGGACACAGTTCAACCCACAACAGATACTAAGGCTTCTGATCTCTGACTCACGTGAGGTTTTTGCTGAGAACAGCAGCAGGGTGAGGGCATCGTGGCAGCAGAGGGTTATCAAGGGCTCTCCTCTCATTTCAGAGCGTTGATTTATTAGCGTCTTTGGGAAAGAAAAAGCCAGGAGAACAATATAGATTCCAGGGTTTGGGGCTTATTTTCAGGTGCTTTCACAAGAGTCTTATAAATATTGGGCAGACTTTTCTTTTGTGTCTGGTTAGCTCTACCCTTCGTGATTTTTACAGAATAATTCTATTTCCAGACTCTTTTATGCTTCTTTTTTATTTTTATTTTCTTACTGAGATATAATTACGTAACATACTTCTTTTTTTAAATACACCAGTTACTTGATTCAAACGAGATCTCCTCTTGCAAATTTTAACTTTTATGCTTCCCCACTTGTATTTTTAGGTTCCTTATAAGTCTTTACAATATTTTAAAGCCAAACAGAAAACTTCTATTTATATTTCAACCTTTAGATCCTAAAATTACACTAAACATTTGCATATTGAAAATTACAGAAACGAATGTGATGTTTACCTAAATTGTACTTTCTCACTTAGCTCACACTGAAGAATCTTCAGTTTGCAGGGATAAAATTCGTGATCTTGGAATATTTTAATGTATTTGTTCATTAATTCAGTCTGCAGACATTTATTGCTTGACATTACTCAGGGGTGGGACCCAGCAGTGAAAAAGAAAAACTGCATTCCACAAGGAGCATAGACTGATGGAGGAGGCAGGGCAGGCCATCAGATAGCACCTGCTGTGGAGACAGGAGCTGAGGGTGCTATTTTTATGGGGCGATGGGCAGTTGCATATTTGAGCCATCCTGGAAGACAATGAGGGTAAAAGCCATGTGGAATTCTGCTGGTAGAACATTGGGGTAGAGGCTAGAACAAACCCCCAGGGGGAGTGGGCTGGGCACTGAAGGAGGAGGAGGTGGGGACGTCCCCGAGGGAGTAGGCTGGGCTCGGGAGGAAGAAGGGGTCAGGATGCTGGTGTAGAATCAGCCAGAGCAAGAGTAGAGGTGAGGCAGGAGGTGGGGCTAGAGTCCAGCCACAGAGCCCATGGGCAGTGGGGACACCAGACTGTGGATGTGGTGAAACTGTACTTCATCCTCTGACCGTAAAGCATTTTACAGCATGTCTCTGATCCAGATAATCTCCCTAAGAGTTGTCATCCAGAAGGGCACAGCATAAATCTTGTTCCAGCTTCTCACACACAGTTGAGCAGCAGCCCACACAGTGCACATCTGAACCTGAGGCTGGGCAGGCGGAGGCTCTGTCACTTCTGTTCCCTGCTGCCATCTGTGTTCCTGGAGTTGTTGCTCGCCCTTTCAGCCATTTTCAAATCTGACCTTGCAGGGAGAGGGAGTTGGGGTGAGAGAGTGAATCAACCGGCCAGTCTGTGGTGGACGTAGACAAGAGGAGGGTAGGGTGTTTAAGGAGCAGCAGGGCAATGTCTTCACACTTCTGAGGTGTTTGTAAAATGTTCTGAAACCCAGAGGGAGAATTAGGAGACACCAACGTCTCATAAATGAGAGGCAAGCCCTCCTTGATGTGCCGGGAGCACAGAATATGCGGGCAGGTCTGCCCTCAGGAGGCCCAGGGTGTGCACTCGTGCGTGTGTCTGTGGTGAGGACGCTGGTTTGCTTCTGCTATTCAGACAAAACTGCTGTTGCAGGCCCACAGACGACAGCAACCAGCCCCCGGGCCGGGGCGTCCTTTCCATGCACGGGCTGACCTACGGCGTCATCCGGGTGGACTCGGAAGAAAAGCTGTCTGTGCTCACTGTGCAGGACGTTGGCCTCGTGATGCCTGGAGGTGAGCATGGGGCCCCAGGGCAGATGATGCCTGAGTGCGACGGATCCCACCCATGGCCGGTGCACTAACCTCAAGTTATGAGATGCTTTCCCCACTGCATCACCGTGCCCCTGTGGCGGGGGCTCTGACTGAGGACCGGGCCCCTTGTACCAGGGGCTTTTGACTGAATGCTAAGCTCAGTCTTCTCAGGTCCCGTCAGAGAAAACCCAGCATGCTCAAGAAGCTGAGGAGGAGCATTTGTGCTGCCTTGTACACAGAGACCCAGGGTCCGTCCCTGTGGGGGCACTGTGGGTCTCTCTGTACCCACTGCAGCCCCTGAGCGGCTTCTCCCTTCCATGGTCAGGTTCCTGCTGGTTATCCGGTGGTCAGGCAAAGTTGGGCTTTGAGGCTTGTAGCAGACAGTTTCCTGTGAAAACTGAGGAACAGCGGTCTGGGTAGTCAGTGAAGCTTGTTTTTATCAGCAGAGTCCATTTTTGAAAGTCACAGAGACTGCTTTGCAGTCCTCACCTGCCCTCCCTCTGCCCCTCATGCCACCTCATGCAGGGCTCCACCAAGTGCAGCGGGAGAGGCGAGCCCCTTTCTGATTTGTGAGATGCCCTTACCTGGTCCCGCCTCTCCTGGGTGCAGGGTACTGGCGTCCCGTCTTTCAGGACCCGCGCCACATTTAGGCTTCTCCCATCCGGCACCCTCAGCTCTCTCTCCTGGTGCAGGTTCCACCTGGAATCAGCTCTCCAGGTTCAGGTGGGTGGCCTCGCCTGGTGAGAGGACACTTGAGTCCACACACAACACTGGCTGATGGGAACGTGGCTTCCTCACAACCAACAGTGCGACCAGCTGGAGGGTTCAGGCACCATCCCTGGAGGGGGAAGGCGGGGTCTACCACATGGATCTCCCCACGTCCTCGTGGCCATCTGCACAGGGGTGGAGATGGCCCGGCTTCCTTGGAGGCCCCTCGCCGGCTGCTCATATTCTGAGGGCACAGAAGAGACAAAGCAGACCTTGGCAGTCCCTGTCCTCGACACCCCTCTGATTCTGGCATCGCCATGGTGTCATTCTTTTCTGCCTCTCAGCCCCGGAAACACTCTCTTCAGTCACAGAAACTTCACTTAAACTTCGCACCCCGACATTCTGTATGTCTCCTGCCCACTGCATGCTTCCTGCCTTAGCCAGGCCTCCTGGCTCCATTTCATTCTTTCTCTAAAAAAATATGTAACAGATCCCCATGGTTCCAGCCTCAAAGGATTCAGGGTTGTACAGTGAAAAACCTTCTTTCTGACCACTTAGAGACAACTGCAAGGATCCCACGCTTCCCGTCAGATACTCAGACTGTACACACATGCGCGTGCACACGCACACATGCGTGCATGCACACATATGCACATATTCGTTCTTCCTATTTTTTTAAATTTCACTGTATGCCTCTGCATGTCTTGTATTATAAGGCTCATTTGTAAGCAGTGCATCAAGAGCTCACTCATTTCTTTCCAGACTGCGTAGTGTTAATTTAGATACATAATAATTTATTGGGTGATTGTCCATCTTTTGCTGCTGCAGTGTGATGCAGCTGCAGTGAATAACTCACTGTGCTTCAGTCTGTGCAGGTGTGAGGAATGTGGAATAAATTCTAGAAATGGGATTTCTGTTTCAAGGGCATATGCTTCCTGCCACTGGTGGAGGACAGCCTCGCTCTCCACTCCCTTGTCCCCAGTGTATTATCAGACTTTTAAATTTTTACCAATCCGATGGGTGAAGAATATTTCAGTGTAGTTGTATCTTGAACTGTTCTTATCATGAGTGAGCTGGACATCTTGTCCTGTGTTTTGGCCGGCTCCGTTTCTTAGACTCAGCTCTTCCTGTCATCTCCACTACAACCTGCAGGTGACTGGAAATCTTAGGCTCAGCCATCACTAACTGCACACACACCACTCGCTGAGAGGCCAGCTCCCGCTCCCGAATCAGACTCACGGTGCATGGGGCACGTATGCTGTGAAAGTGTCAAAGCGCTCATGCCACACTTGTGAGAATTTACTGTCACTGAATTACTTGCCGAAAATGCTCAGTTATGAAGCTCTTGCCAGTGTTCTCTGAAGGACTCCCCTTAACAGGGAATCTGAGAGCAGAGACGAAGAGTTCCTAGGACGGTGAGGCTTCAATTCTCCTTTCTACTTAGGGAGCCAGAGGCCTGTGGGGCGCTGTGTGCTCCTCCCTCTGCATAGTCGCATTGTCCTGGACGCCAAGTGTGTGCTTCTGCTGACATGCATGTGGCAGACACCCCTGAGGTGGATTCAAAGTGTCACCCTCCCATCCAAATGCACAAAAGGTTGCTCTCCTTAAATACGATTTACACATGAAAATTAAGGCAATTGTAATTATTTACTGATGTCACAACTATGAAATTTGACATTTTGCCTCAACATGAAAAATCATGACTCGCTTTGGGGAAAATGAGTCCCTGGCTCACTTTTTTACTGGCAGTTTTGTTCCATATACTATTCCTATTCATTTGTGTTTTCATTCATTATTATTCTCTCTCCCTGCTCTGTCCTACTCTCCAACCCCCTCTCTCCTCCCCCCCTCCTCCTTTCTCTTTCTCCATCTCTCACTTTCTTCCCACCTCTCTCTCTCTCTGTCGCTCCCTCTCTCTTTCTGTGTCTTTCTCTCTGTGTCTCCCTCTCGCTCTCTAATATTACCTGTGCTTCCTATTTGCTTTCAGCTATCATGTGTTCAGTGAAGCCGGATGGGATTCCTCAGCTGTGTAGAACAGATGAAATTGGGGAGCTCTGTGTGTGTGCGATTGCCACAGGCACATCCTATTACGGCCTCTCAGGCATGACCAAGAACACCTTCGAGGTAGGTTCATGGAGGTGAGCTCCACCCACATTTCCTCTTCAGGCAGCATTGCCAGGTGCGTAGAAATGGATGTGAAAGAGAAGATGGTGATTTCTCAATAAAACGTATTCATTATAATTTAAATGGTTGCACTTTCTTCTGCCATTTTTTAAATAGTTTTCAATAAATTTGGCTTATCAGTGCTGTTTTCACTTCGTAACCAGTGTCAAAAAAGGACAAGTACAGTTTCTTAAAAAAGGGCCTTTTTTATATTTGGCTGTTCTCATCTTTGCCTATTTAGTAAGAGTGCCAGCTGACAGGTGGGTAGGAGGAGGAGCATGGCACGTGTGCACAGCCTCACCAAGGTGAGGGAGCCAAGGCTCTCCCTCGTGGCCTCTCAGCCCGGGCCAGACTTAGCCAGGTGTGAGCAAATGTACACGCTACGTAACTATCTCCCTGGCACGAGCAGGCATGTGTGGTCTGTGTGCACACGTGTGTCATGTGTGCACACATGTGAGGTACTGTGTACACACGTGTGTGGTGGGTACGTGTGTGTGGTGGGTGTATGGATGTGATGGGTACACGTGTTTGGTGTGTACATGTTGTATACCCACACGTGTGATGTTCATGGTGTGGCATTAGCATGCACATGCATACACATTCTGGCCTCGTGACTGAGAGGTTAAGGGCAGGCTCGGGAGCTCAGGGCCAGCCTCTGCCCTTGGAATTCCTGTCAACACCTGCCCATAGGAGGAGCGCACATTCTGGTTAAGTTTTGCACGAGGAGATGGGGCTGTTTGAATATACATTTCTTAATGTGCAGACTTTTTTGAAGATGTGTTCAGTCTTTAGAATGTCCCTGACACTGGGCTCAACACAGTCTGAAAGACCCATCTCTTTCTGTGTCACATATCTGCAAGGTTTGAGGAAAACAGATGTACAGTTTGAATGCATGTGATTTGCTTCCTTTATATTTTTCTTTTCAGTGTTGTTCCAGTAAGGAAAAATATTTTAATGAAAGCAGATCATTTTACAAGTAATATATGTTATTTAAAATGCACCTCAATTCCCCATTTATCACTTTGATGCTATGTTTTTATAAGCCTGAGAATTAATTAGTGTTGATTGGATTATTGCCATTATCTCTGTGATCATCCCTTAGGACACTCAGAAGCCAGGGAAGGAAATGCACGAGGCCTTGCGTGTGGCTCCGGGGGAGCAAGTGGGAGGCACTGGGGTGGGAGGGGAGGTGCCTTCTGGGTTGCAGGCTGTCTGCTAACAGCAGCTGCCTGGCCCTGGGCTTCTCCAGCACCATCAGGTAGGAGACGCAGCAAGAGAAAAGCAGGCCCAGTTGGCTCCAAGGGGAGGGTGGACAATGGGCATTACTGGGGCTGGGCTCTCAACGCTCCTGTGTCCCCAGGTGTTCCCTGTGATGAGCTCAGGGGCCCCAGTCAGCGAGTACCCCTTCGTGAGGACCGGCCTGCTGGGCTTCGTCGGCCCTGGGGGGCTGGTGTTTGTGGTGGGCAAGATGGATGGGCTCATGGTGGTCAGCGGCCGCAGACACAACGCTGATGACATTGTGGCCACAGCGCTGGCCGTGGAGCCCATGAAGTTTGTCTACCGGGGAAGGTGAGTGCGCCCTCTCTGAGTTAAGCACACAGTCTTCTGTGGAACATACTGTTTATACAAAGTTGTATAAATTCCTTAAATGGATGGGACTCAGTTTCCTATTCTGTAAAACGAAGTAACTGGACTCTGACCTCTGAGGTTCCATCTAGTTCTGAATGGCAGTTTTATAGAAATTTTCTGAGCCCCATAAATATATTCTCATTAACTTCCCCTGTAAATTAAGTAAAAATACCCATTTGAAAAACTTACTTTTTGTTTTGTTTTTTTGGCCGAGGAAGATTCTTCCTGAGCTAACATCCATTGCCAGTCTTCCTCTTTTTTTCTTATGTGAGCCACTGCTACAGCATGGCTGCTGACAGACGAGTGGTGTAGGTTCACACCTGGGAACTGAACCTGGGCTGCCAAAGCACATCGTGCCAAACTTAACCACTAGGCCACCAGGGCCAGCCCAAAATTTATTTTTAATAACTTCACAAAGAGCCAAATATTCATCTTGGTGCAGGTCATTTGGAAAGACCCAAAGAGAACAGTTGAGTGACAAATTTGCGTGGGAAACCAGCTCCTGTGGCTCCTCTCTGTGATGGCCCCCCCACCCCCCGGCTTGGCATACAGGAAACACTGAATCAGGACCACAGTTCCTGAGTTCTCTGCTAATTTGAAGGAGGTCATAAACTAATTTAGAATGTACTTCAGTTTGCAAACTAATGGAAGTCGCAGAAGTGGATGTGGCATTGCCATCTTAGGATTGTCCTTAAGCCATAAGCTCTTTCTGAAAATGTCTGAGTCGCCACTCTCCTGGGCTTACCCTGAGAGGCAGACATATCTAGCAAAAAACCGCTAGTTCCAAAACAGAAAGTTCTGCTGATTTAGAGAATTACTACTTCACAGGTGTGAACTCAAGATGTGAATTTTATGGCTTTCCAAATTTCAGCAGTTCTAATAATCGCACATCTACTCCGTCTGTCTATACTGAGAGGCAGGAAGCCTGCCACCAGAGCTGCAGGCGGCCTCAGCGGGAAGTGCGCTATTCTGCCCTCGCAGCATCCTCAGGTTTCTCCCCCAAAGCCCAGCTTATGTCACTGAGCGCATGGGAGTCTGAGACTGCAGTTTGCCTTTCTGGGGTTGTGGTTGGCACTGTGACCTCCTGAGCTCTGTACTTGGTAGTGGCCGTAAAGCCCCTTATTACAGAACTGGTCCTCACACCAGCATCTCCAGCGCGTGCTAACTGCGCTTCCTTTCTGTCCCCACAGGATAGCCGTGTTCTCAGTGACTGTCCTCCATGACGAGAGGATAGTTATTGTGGCCGAGCAGAGGCCGGACTCCACGGAGGAGGACAGCTTCCAGTGGATGAGCAGGGTGCTCCAGGTAGCTCTTCGCCTGCCCGGGGTCTGTCTCCTGGTCACATGACAGCTTCCCTTGGCGTCCGTTAGGCTGTGGCCGACTTTCATTGACTGTGCTCCCTGACTGTCACTTCATTTGACCAGATATTGCATCAACCCTGAATCTCGTATCTGCATTCTAGGAAAGTAGCTAACAGATGGAGGTTAGGGGTCAGGAATTGGCAGGACTGGCTTCCACCATTCACTTGGTGAGATCACAAGTAAACTTTTTTGTTACGATCTTGAGAATATATTTTCTTTCCTCCAAATTCCCTGTCTTGGTGTATCGTATTCCACAAGTCCAACGTAAAACTTTTCAGCGTGGTGAGGTTTGGTGACACAGCCCTCCTCTTGTCCCAGTGTCTTTGCACCAGCAGCCCTACTCATGCTGCGGGAGCTTCTGTGTGTTGCAAACAATATTTTGCACAGCCTGAATATCTGCTAGGTGTCTGTTCCTGACACCTATTCTAACACAGCTCCCTCTCTTGTGACTTTCCAGGCAATCGACAGCATACATCAAGTTGGCGTTTATTGTCTGGCCTTGGTTCCGGCAAACACCCTCCCCAAAACCCCACTCGGTGGGATCCATTTGTCAGAAACAAAGCAGCTTTTCCTGGAGGGCTCCCTTCATCCCTGCAACGTCCTCATGTGCCCCCACACTTGTGTCACAAACTTGCCTAAACCTCGACAGAAGCAACCAGGTACGTCTAATGGGCCTGGAGGGTTGCACGGTCTCAGATTGCTCTCTGGAGCTGTGAATGCCATGCTCTCCAGGCCTTATGAACATCGGTGATTCCCAGCCTTTCTCCCCTGGTCTCCACAGTCACTCACTCTCCGGGGAGGAAACCACCTCCTCACAGCGGTGCTTTTCTACCCGTGGAGGGGTGGAGTGCAGCACTGTGCTAGGACAGCAAAACCCACTCAGAGCAGGGCATGTGGAGAACATTTGAACAGAAAGAGGCCCCAGTTTCCTGAGCCCAGTTTTCTCAGGGGATGTCAGACCCTCAATCCAGCTGGGTGGCCTTTGGGAAGGTAAGGACCTCTCAGGGTCACAGTTTCCTCAGGCACACATGAGAATAATGTTCCTTGCATGTTTCACTGGCTACTTTAGAAGTCAAAGTAGCTAACACATGGGAGAGCACTTTGAAGCATATGAAGAGTTCTCCAAGTTTGTTTGTGATGTTGTTATGATAGTAAACATTTGCTGCTTTGCAATTTGGGGAGTACATAATTATCCATGATACTTACCCCCCCTGCAGCTAACCAATCGTGCTCTTTAGGGTTGCACACAATTCAGTGAGAGGGAACTTACTGCAAGAAGGTGGATTGAGGAAGCAACTCTTCTGCCAGTGTAGTAACGGAAGGTCCTGGGCCTCCAGGCTGCACCATGAAGACAACCTCCCAGAGGCCAGGGCAAGAGCTGCCTGGGGCCACAGAAGAACAGCATGTAGGACTTGCACAGGCCGCGTTTCAGCACATGATGCACACTAACTCATTTCCTCCTCATGGAGCCCTGGGAGGTGGGCGCTTTCTTTTCTCCACTCCACAAATGAGGAAAATGTGCCACAGAGAGGTTTGGAAGTTGGCCTAAGGCTACAGGGCCAGAGGGTGGTAGAGACAGACGCAAACTCGATGGCCATTTGCTCCATCTGGTAATGTGGCAGGGGACAGAGTTTGTGGCAAGTCAGCTGGAGCTGGTTGGGTCATCGCTGGGCACAGCTGACTTGGTGGTAAATGCAGGAGTTATCTGGCCCCGTGGCTGACCCCCTGTAAGTGAGACTGGATGAGGTGGGGGGTGAGTGGTCCACTATAGTCAGGGTGAGAACGCTGAGGCTGCAGGGAAAAAGTGGTTGCCCCACGTGTAGAGCAGGGCAGAAGTTGAACGCAGGTCTCTGGCTCTGTGTCCTTTGCCGCTATTGTCTCTGCAGCGCAGAGATGTTTGTAAGGTGGTCACAAAGTCCCCTGCACACTGGAATGCTTTATTCTCTCCTGGGATAAGCTAATTCTCCTAAAGGGCACAGGAAGTCAGTTTCTGCTCTCTGGGCACCTTGGGTTTGCACTTAACACTGCTCTTTTGTTTCTGTCCTGTTAATTATTTTCATGTATTCTATAACTACTGTTCCTCCTCCATTTCATTCTCCTCTCATCTTCGTTTTATTCTCTCAATCCCTGGTTTATACGACTGCTGTAGTAAAATGCAGAGTTACGGCCAACTGAAGTCCTCGTTTCTTTGAATTCTGGGGCACACTGGCCTCGTGTGGCGTTCTGTGGTGAACTGCTGAAAAACAGCATTGCCCTTCTGTGAGCATAACGAGAGGATGAAAAGTAGCCTCTTTTGTCTGCTAGTATCTCAAACATCAGCTGCTCCAGAGTGATGTGGCAGTGCTCTACCTGGGCATGTTGGCTCTGCGTCGGGGCTCCCAGGGTGTCCCCATGCGCAGTCAGAGGGAACTGGAATCTCCCTCTCCCTCTTCGCCTCAGTTCATCATCAGCCACCCTCAGCCCAGTGTCTCAGGTGTGGGGAAGCCCATGTGAACCCCACTGGTCAGCAGTTGGTGACCGCAGAATTTAGGACAGATATTTACGGTGGGGGATCATTTGCAAATGCATGATATGATTCCAGAGCTGCAGGGCTCGGCTCACCTGGCAGATGTCAGAGAGCCCACAACAAGAAAAACATGGCCAAGGAAAAGGCCAAGGCCCCCTGCTCCAAGGTTGGGCTGACAGAGCATCTGAAGACAACCTTCTTCCTTAGGGGGTGAGCACACGCAGAAAGAGTGATCCCGGAGATCTGGGCCCACTTGAGTTCTGCAACACAAGAAGTGAAGATTTATGCGATTGGTAATTGTAAGGAAAGAATTTTTTTTAATGATATTTGGTGTCGCTTCTGTTCTTGTTAAATATTGAGAGATTATGTAATTCTTTGTCTTCAAAAAGCTGTTTTTTAACAAACACTATGTGGCAGCTATGAGGTGAAAGTCAATTTCCCTACCTTAGTGATGACCTGCAGCAGCTTGCAGGTGACATCAGACAGGTGACATCTCTTCAAGGCCCAGTTTCCAAAAATGCAGTGAGGGAATTGGACTAGATGATTTCTAAGGCCCCCTGGAGTAAACATTTATGACACTGAGCAAGTGCTTATTGGCGGCCAAAGCAGACATCTAGTGAGGCCATTTATGTGTACGAATGTTGCTGGATGCTTGAAACAGCCCGTAAATTTAGATAATTTGTAGACAACCTAATTCCCTTCTTTACTGGATGAATTCATATTTACTCAGCTAACAACACTGTCCTGTGAGAGTATCTTAACTGAGCACAAAAGAGTTAAAAGAACTGTAGCTCATCAGCTGGGCTGGCAACAATATTATAAAAATGAAAACTACTCCCCCGCATTAACATTCCCTGGGGTATATTTCCTCAGAGCAGCTCAAGGGAACCAGTGGGAGTAGCCACAGCCACAGCACCTCTAGGGCTCCACAGCTTGCTGCTCTCAGGTGAAACTGGGTGTGTCCCTGCATGAACTAGTCACGTGTTGGCTGGTAGGAATTCGACAGCACTGAGATGAAGTTGCCAACTTGTGGGTTTGTAAATCTGCAAGCGTGCACGTGGGAAGAGAGCAAATGTGAATTTCAATGCACATTGCTACATTACATTTTCAAATCATGAGGGGGTGAAGTACTACAGGAGGGTTTCGCATGCACCTACGTCATTCAACAAGGGGAAGAGCGTCTCAGTCCTTGGTGAAGGACAGACTTTGTAAACAGATGCAGCAGGAAAGCTGCCTGTCTCCCGGCAACATTCAGAAAAAATAAATTAAGTCCGTGTAGGGATAGAGACACATAAGGCCCAAGCTTCGTGCCTGGAGGACGCCGGCAGAAGTCAGCTTTTAGTAAGGAGAAACCTGACTCAGCGACAGAGAAGGGCACTGTGTACATAAACACATGTAAAAATACATAAAGTAGGGCACTGAAAATCCAGTGTCTCCTCAAATAATGCTTTCCCTACCCTAGTTTGAATTCTTACAAAAAATTATAGAGAAACCTTCAAACCAGTTCGGTCCAGTTTCCAAGTTGACATCTTAGCATAACCGTCCTGCCCAGCCTAAATCATCCAGAGTAACGTCAGAATACTTTATTGATGACACTAAAGACAGGAAGTGAGTGACTAACAAGCCAGGCTGCAGGCTCCCAGGGCTTTTTTCTCGGTGGTGAAGGCTGTCCACGTGCTCCAGCCCCACAGCAGCGCCACCCATTTCAGCATGAACCTCGTGGCCTAATTTTCTTTTTGTTTTGTTAAATATGAAAAGACCTTTCTCTCTCATAATTACTTTACTAATAGCTAAGAAAAGAAATGTCGTCGGTGTCAAACTACCACACGTGAAGATTCAAACACGATTGGATTAGTACATAAGGCATATTCTGATTATGTGGAAACCAGCATCAGGGCTCCTATAAATTGCCTAACACCAAGGACACCAGGAGGCCGGAGCCCAGTGATCTGTGTTGCAGGCTGCTCTCCACATTCAGTCCTGCCTTGAAGCACCCTGCCTTCTCCCGCACAGCTGGGCTTAAGTTGGATATTTTACAGCAAACCAAATTGCGGTCAGCCACACATCTGCAGAAAAGAATGGGCCTGTTCCCACTTGGACAACCCCCAGGGGGCTTACACTCAACCCCTCGCACTGCCCATGGTTCCAGTGTATTTCTGCTCAGAAGCCAGAGCGACTGTCAGCGTGGTTGTCACAGCAGCTGTGCACATTGTAGGCCTTGGTCGATGCCACCACACCCCTCCACTCAAATCTTAAAACTTCTGTCTTAAGTGCAGACATACAGCTCTTTGTGTGTAGTAAATAGTGCAACATATGCCCTGGTTTATACACCTGTAATTTGACTTCATCAACAGTTTATAAGAATTTGATGGGGGCCCGCCCAGTGGCACAGCGGTTAAGTGCGCACGTTCCGCTTCTCAGCAGCCCGGGGTTTGCCGGTTTGGATCCCGGGTGCGGACATGGCACTGCTTGGCACGCCATGCTGTGGTAGGCGTCCCACATATAAAGTAGAGGAAGATGGGCACGGATGTTAACTCAGGGCCAGTCTTCCTCAGCAAAAAGAGGAGGACTGGCAGTAGTTAGCTCAGGGCTACTCTTCCTCAAAAAAAAAAAAAGAATTTAATGCAATGGCCTTTGACTTGTATTTTATCAAACCAAGGGTTAAACACAAGTTGTTAATGTTGTCTTTGTTATTTTATACTGCAGTTCTTTTAGTAAACATCTTTCACTCTTCCGCACTTCCTGCCCTCCTTCCTCCATCTGCCCTACTCTCCCACATGCACAGTCACATGTGCACTCACACACACATGCACACTCTCACAGTGGTGTGTTCTCCGGGAACGTCTAATCTTTTCCTAGTAAATGTGTATATCTTGGTTCATATGTATGAATTTAATGAAACAAAAGTGTGAATGATGGTATTTTGAGAAACTGGAGGGCACCTAGGGTTTCTTGCAGTCAGAAATTTTGAAAGAGTTTCTATAGTTCTTTAAGAAATTCCTTTCTTAAAGAAAGAAAGCTATGAGAATAGGTGGTGTCTGCTTTTCTCTTTTGAAATGTTTCATAAACTGGAATGAGCACTGGTAACAGAGTCAGGAATGGTAGTGTAAAAGGCACTTAAAAGGCACTTTGTACAGGAGCCTTTTGGTTTATTCTTCCACGTTCCTGTGGGCCTGACAGAAAACCTAAAACCTTTCAGTCAATGAAACATAGAGGTAAGTGATTCTGTGTCCTGTCCCTTCAACAGTAACATTCCCTAAATCCATCCCAAGAGGTATTTATTAAAAACGTATAATGTTTCATTTATATTGGTGGTTGACTGTCAGTGACGTGTGGTAACACCAGGGAGCAAGCACACAATCCAGGAGTCTGTAACTACTCAGTGGCGAAATACATCCTGTTTTAAATTCTGCCTTTGTCTTCTGCCTTATTTTTTATAATCACTAACATGCATAGATCTCAGCACCCCCCTAACTGGAAGATAAAGGCAGCGGGCTTGGGAGAACTCTAGGGAATTCAGTGAAAGCATGATTTCTTTATACCCTTAATCGAGACCGTTTATATTTGCCATCATTACCGTTGTGGTGACTTCTCTGAAACCCTGTTCTAACAAGATTTTTTCAAAGCCAGGTCTTTGAAAGGATTTCCAGAGCCAACTCTTTCCCAGGCAGGAATTGTGTGGTAAGGATTTCCTCACGTGTGCTTCTTTCCAGAAATCGGCCCTGCCTCTGTGATGGTGGGGAACCTGGTGTCTGGGAAGAGGATTGCGCAGGCCAGCGGTAGAGACCTGGGGCAGATTGAAGACAACGACCAGGCCCGGAAGGTGAGAGCAAGGGCCAGGCCCAAAGGCTGCGTTGCAGATACACGGATACCATCTTCCTGCCCTGCATATCCAGCATCCACCACTGATCTTTGGTGTCTTTGGTGACCTCTTCTTCCTACCTGCCCTCTTGGTTCTGCATGAGACATCCATATAATTTTATAAGGGTGCAGTGTTGCAGAACATTTCACGGTGGCCCAGAACAGGTGGATGATACAGCCCCCAACCAGCAGGCCTGAGGCTGGTGTCTAGGAATCCCTGTGCTGTCCTTGTAGCCCCTAAGCACTTTTCTCTGTTATCCCACCAGTGCTGATTTGACTCTTAGACTGCCTCACAGCGACCTTGTCGAAAGGCTTCACTCCTTTGATTGTTGGAATTCGAGAAGACATCAGTTCAAAACCCAGATTTGGGAGCCAGACCTCCTTAAAGCAGTCGTAGGAGCAGTAGGAGAAATCCTGGGGCCCCACTCCACCATAAACATCATACAATTTGTCTCATGTAGCTATGCATCCCCATTATAACCATTCAGCCTTGAGAACTCTTACAATTCACCAAAAGGTTGTCGCACTCTGTATGGCACCAGGAAATGTGACAAAATCAACCATTTAAAATATTGCCAATTTGGTAACAAATAGTAATATGTTCATTGAAAGCACTTGATCACCATGTTCCCCACATCAGAGTATGTTTCTGTTAATAAAACCCATTAAGGGGTCACATGGGTGTCCTATATCCTGGCATGAGGCAGGGCTGACCTTTTCACCATGGGCTGAGTCAGTGTGTGCATAGAATCTGTGTGATTTGCAAAGCCGTTGAATGACCTCAGGGGATGATCATTCTAAAACCAATGAATTTAAAAGAGCCCATTTTTAAAACAGGATAGGTCTGATTCTGCCATTGCAGCCCCAGAAATCACTAGTGCATCTTCTGGAAACCCCAAGAGAAGGGATTTTCTGTTTCAGCTGCTCTGTCTACAAGGGGAATGTGGTTCTCCATCCTTGGGCAGATTTCAGAAACTTCCCTAACCAGGGGCTCAGCACCCGCTGTCTGACTTGTGAGTCTAAATGAGGTGCAGAGAATCCAGTCACTGCAGGAGGAACATTATAAGCACTTGCTTATTCTGTCCATTATGTTTGTCCGGGGATGTCTCGTTCCTCTGTGGAGGAGAGCGCTGTTTTAAACAGGCACCCTAAAAGCACTCAGACTATGCCAATTTAAATGTTGAGACTACCCCAATCTAAACAAGGATGGTCTGAACTTAATGGCTGTGCTTTGTTCCAGTTCCTGTTTCTCTCGGAGGTCCTGCAGTGGAGGGCTCAGACCACCCCCGACCACGTCCTGTACACGCTGCTCAACTGTAGGGTGAGGCATGCTCAACTCGCACCTCATGATTGCTCACCTGTGGGGTCCATGCTTTCATGATTCTTTATCATAATCCTTTCACTTCAGACTTACTTGAATTCCTTTTAATTATTTGTTGCTATGTTAACTGAGATCTTTTCACTTGCTTTTAAATATAAGGGTTTGCACATCTGTCTATCTATACATATATTATGTACGTGTATATTTGAGCAATATTTCCCCCAAAAAATGAGTCATGAATGATCTCTACAACAGAGAAAAATTGCAGATCTCTGAGATATTTTTATCTTTATTACTAAACTGCTTTTTTTTAATAAGTAAGAGGTTATGTTTTAATTTAGACTTTCATTCTTAGGAATGAAAATCATTTGTATTTTATAAGTATAATTAAACAGTAATTCACATTTCACATCAGAAAAGCAAACTCATCAGATATTGTTCCATAATCGTACTTAAGAATAAAGCCTTAAATATGTAAGCAAATAGTATCAGCAATAAAAATTAAATGCGAGTCTTAATATGTTTTTTAACTTTTCTTGTGCTGTAGAAATAAAGCCTGAAAAGTGGGTTTTAAATCTGGGTCATCTTGACAAGTTATGGGTACTCGCAACTTTAAGAAGTGATGGCTTTTCAGATTTGCAAAATAGCAAGCTCTCAGGTGCGAAGGCCTCTTGCTGGTTAAAGCTATAGATAAAAGACAAGTAAACAGAAATGCCCGTGCTGTAACTGCGTCTCTGATATCCAGTTCTCAGACCAGTTTTCCATATGCTTTAGCTCGTCCTCTATCCTAGAGGCTCTTGTTATCTTGGATTGCCGTGTGCTGAGTTGACCCTAGTAGTTTGTGTGTTCACTGTGTCTGTTCAAAACTGTCTCCCAGGAAGAGTCAGAAAGCGTTCCTGTGACCCTGGCCCCTTCCTGCCTCTCCTGCACTCATGCCTCTCTCGGGCCCCCGTGCTCACTGGTGCCCAGCAGGGACATGCACGGCCTCTGAGCTCCTGAGCTTTGGTGTAGTCACCCTGAGGCCTGTATCCAAAACATGCCAGCCCAGTTTCCTACCTCCTTCCTCCACTGGCTCCTTCCTCAGCCTATAAATACAGATAAGACTCTCCTTTCCTGACACCGTCACCCAGTTCGCTGTCCTCAGCTCTGTGGCACTATCCTGATTTCTCTTTAATCGCTTCTTGTGACTTTTCTCATCCTCCACAAGTAGCATTTCTCCTAGGGACTGTTCATGACTTTTTCTTCTGTTTCTCCAGTCTCTCGTGACTCTCTAGAGATTTGCAGCATCACCTCCAGAGGGATAAGTGTCATCCCACTGGATAAAAGCCACAGTGTTAGTTCCAGCCCATCCCCCACGCCCCAGGGAGAACACCTGCTCAGATCCCTTTGCCAGAGTACTTATGCCCTTCACTTAGCTTCCTAAACATAGCAGTGATGCTGACATGCCAGGATAGGACGACGTGATGTGACATGATATGACATCCTCCATAAACTGGAGGCAGCGAGAGAGCAAGAGACAGATCAGCATCACTTTTTAAGCCCTTTCTTCACCATGACCTCGTCCATTACTCTCATGTTTGTAGGAAGGGAGAGAGAAGGATAAATATCTGTGCCCAGACACTCAGGAGGTATAAATGGGTAGCTTAAGAAAAGTAGCAGACCTCCCACACATATACAGAGCTTCAAAAATGATTCAGGTGTGTTCATAGACAGTATGTCCCATCAGAGGGAGGAAAATAAGCTATTCTACCTACCTCTAACTTTGGGAGTGGCAACGTGCAGATCAGACCCCTCAGATTGACAGCTGGAGTTACGCCTCAACACTGGGCTCGTCAAAAATTGTCTGACCTGTTGACATGTGTTCCCATCCCGACCCTGTGCTATGGTTGGAGATGCTGGATCAGTTGGGAAAATGCGTTCACAGGAAATGACTCCACTCTAAAAAGAGCTTCGTTAGAAACAACAGAAAATCAGATGGGGCAAGTTGTAGAGATCAAAGCCATGAGTAAATTTACTTCAGGTCAGCGTGGAGAAAGTGTAGTCCACGGATACCTTCCCTTCTAGTGGTAGTCTGCTCTTTCCTGAGGCTCTCGATGTAGAGGCACCCAAATCCTGAACCATTCAAAGGGTCAGATGTGACCCAAGCATCTGTGCTCATTCCCACCTTCTCTGACCCCATATGCAAACTTAGAACAAATGCTCAACCTGGACCGAAGGTCAGAAACATCATTTTTATGGTTGTTATATGTAATTTCCACTTAAATCAACCTTCTAGTTCAGCACTGTCTAGTAGAAATATAACACAAACTACACATATAATTTTACGTTTTCTGAAAGCAACATTTAAAAAACGTAAAAAGAAACTATTGAAATTCATCCTAATAATGTTTTACATAACTCAATATGTCCAAAATACCATCATTCCAACATGTGGCCCCACCGCATTTACAGGCTGGCCTCTATCCTGGATGGTGTACTCTGTTGATTGTGAATTCGCCTCCTTGATCATGGCTCACTTAAAACAGTGAACCATTTAGTTCCTGGCTATGGGTGAGGCTTCCTGTCAGTTGAAAACAATGTTCATTCTTCTGCTTTCCTCCACCGCAGTCCAGTCAATAGGGTAAGAGTTGTTGTGCGGGATTTATAATAGGAAGTGAGGATATAATTCATTGCAAATCAGGGAAAACTTACATTCTTGGAACGTGTTTACATACAAAAGAGCATCTGTTAATTTTCTTTACAGAAACACCAACCAGCTCTTTTAACCTTTTTTTTACTTATAGAAACTTCTTTAGAGTATTAAAATATGCATCCTATTTGACTTCATTCCTCAATATTTTTTCAGTTGTCATTATTTAAATGTAAAACTTTAAAATGGTGCCAAATTTACAGTCACTGACACTGAAATTTGTTGTCTTTGGAGTGGGGATTGGATGGTGGATTAGCGTGCATTGCCATTCTGTCATGATACCACCCATGACTTCTTTTAGAAAAAGTCAGCCCTGATTTCTCTGGTGATAGTTTTTACTAGAGCCTTCTTCTTAGGCAGTGGGTTTCTATATGGAAACCTCAGCTTTTGCCATGAGTGCAGATGAGGATGCCAGGTAACCACTGACCCGAGGATAAATGGCTACTACTTCATGGACCCCTCACCTGTAACATTTCATGTTTTTCTTAACAGCGAGCACTTTGGAAAATGAAATGTGTAACTGAAAATCAGTGGTATTTCTCCGGAAATGAAAGTTTGTGTTGAGACTCCCACAGAATGAGTGGTGATGAACAGATCTGGGGCCAGGTGTGACCTGTGTCCCGTGTGGGCTCACTAGATGGTGGAGTCATGTCGTATTCAACCTTGCAAGCTGGGGAAGAGAGGAGAAGAGAACATTGTGTTGGACTTACCGTGAACTAACACACTTCTTTCCAACATCACACTTCTTAGGGTATTTTTGAGGATAACTTTAATTGATTCCCCATTACCCTATATGCTGACTCTAGGGCCCAACTCCCAAGAGAGGTGTCCCTCTCCTGGGCAGTTGCTGCAGCATGTGAGGGGGGCTTCCTGTTCGTTATTGTAAATGCCATAAAATGGCAAGCGGTATTGTGAAAACTGTTTCAGACATTACTAGAGGTAAAGGACCGCATGCCAATTAAATTTCACCATTTTAAGTAGCTATAGGTGGGAATTTTCACGAATCAGAGTGAAAACATGTTTTCAGATACACCCTTGGCTGCTGCTCTTAAGTCACAGGCACCTCTCAAATCTCATAGGCTTTGTCATATGTCAGAAAAGCTGGTCGTTGGTGGGGAATTGGTGTCAGTGCTCCAGAAAATGGGGAAAAGGTCAGTTCCAGAAGTTGAACGGCCCAGACCAAGAATGCTACTGTTTAAGATAGGATGACATAAGACAGCAGCAGACAGCAGGGTGGTCATGGGATCCTATGTCCCAGGAAGGTCTGCCTCACTGGGAACAGAAAGATGAGCCCCTTCTGCCAGCCCTACCCCTGTGGCAGCCTGCCACCCACCAGCAATGCGTCTGATACCTGTTCATCAGTCAGGGATGCAGTGCTGGCATTCCTCCAAGACAGCTGAGAGGGGGAGCGTCTGCAGGCACTGGCGTGGTCCCCACCACCACCAGTTTGGGAACTGAGTGGGTCCTGGGCCTCTCCATTAGCTGTGTGGGGGCCGGGCTATGCACCATCTTCACTCTGAAGAGCTCACGGGACATTTGGGTCGAGGGGTGTGTGTGTGTTGGTTCATGTCAACAGGTGTGGTCTCCGGCAGTGAATGCTCAGAGGAACAGTCTGGTTTTGAAGGCACCAAGTTCTGACATTTGGGCTAGTTTTCTTAGACTCCAGTCTCGTTGATCTTTTTGTGTTCACCCAGTTTTACCACATTCTACTCTTTGGCTCTTCCACTTTATGTATCTGTTTCTATTTTCTTATGTTGTAACCTTCCTCGGAAGGAAAATAATTAAGGAAGATGTGTGCAGTGAGAAACCTGTCCTCCGTAGGAGGAACCAGTCCCAGCATGGTGAGAAAGAGGCCAGAGCCTGGCTGGCAATTCCTTTCTAGGCGGGGCTCTGTGGCCCTGCACGCTACCTGAAGGTCATCAAAGAGAATGTGTTGCTTCCCCGAGCTAGATACAACAATCAGTTACTTTGTGAATGTTTTTGGCAAATGACAGGTACTGATATTTATGTCCTGATGTCTTATGAAAAGTTCTACACTCCACTGGGTCCCTCCCCCCTCACCCCTCCAGATATTTCCAACAGACGGGTCATTTGGGGTGGGAAGTCTAATGTCCAGTCACCAGATCACCACTGTCCTTTAATGTCCCCAAAGGTTCTGATCACTTCTGTGTCCATTACAGCATTCTCCTCCTCCTGCGATTGGTGCTCGTGCCACTTCCCTTTGGATTTCTTTCTCCACACATGGCATTCGGGTCTGGAACGCCTACCAGGGTCCGTGTCCAGTCCCCGACAGTCTTCTCCTGATACCTTGCTCGCTTGCTCGCCTTCCTTTCAAGTTCCCTACCTCAGAAAACACATTTGGCCCAGGTGTCCAGGATGTTTCTCACCTTCTGGAGTCTTCCTGACCTGGAAACTGCTGGCCAGTTTGTCTATTGCTTCAGGAAAGCTCCTTCCCCCTATTAATCACTTTAAAATAGGATTTGATCATAAAGAAGTAATTTTTAAATAGCTGTAGACAGTGATCTCTTCACAGCTGGGAACTTGTGTATATGAACCATAATTGTAAAATGTATCCTCAGGAAAAACTTTTTTGAGTTAGTTATATGTCTATAATTTGCAGTTTCTGCATGCTTTTCTTTACAATTTGCACAGTAAATCCCATATTTTTTAATATTTCTTTGTTCCTATTTTGGTACTGATCTTCCCTAACAACCTTTTTTAAGGTATTTTTCAATCCAAATGTATTTTCCGTTTATGACCACACGTTTAAAAAGTCTACATAAAGTGAATTTGACAATTCGTTTTTTCCTTAGGGTTTTTCTGACTATTGCTTTTGCTTGTTTGTTTGTTTTTTGACCTCCTTGACTTTTGGTGTGATCTTTCTCAAAAAAACTTTCAATCAGGGGCCAACCCAGTGGTCTAGTGGTTAAGTTTGGCACGCTCCACTTCAGTGACCTGGGTTCAGTTCCCAGGCGTGGACCTACACCACTTGGCGGGGGCTGTGTAGTGGCAGCGACCCACATACAAAACAGAGGAAGATTGGCAGATGTTAGTTCAGGGACGATCTTCCTCAAGCAAAAAAAAAAAAGAAAGCTTTCATCAGTCTTGTTTTTCATAGGACAAGTCCTGCAGGTTTACTGCCCGTGGCAATTACACTTAAGTCCCAGAATTACTAGATTGATTTTTTTGGTAAGTTTAGCTGTTTTTTAGGTCAAGTAATTATTTTCTAAAATGTTTCTTGTTAATACGAAAATATCTAGATGCCTCTTTGGTGCTGTACTTCTTAGCTGGTGGGAAGGAAGGACAGTGGCTGCTGATGGTACAGGGTCTCCTGAGGGGGTGATGAAAACGACTGGTGGGTAGTGGTTGGTGACTGGACCAATGTCCATGGGACTGTACATTTTGACCAAGTGAACTATGTCTCAGTAAAGCTGTCGGGTTAGAATAGCTCACCCCTTGTTCCTGTGACACAGGGCACAATAGCAAACTCACTGACGTGTGTCCAGCTGCACAAGCGAGCCGAGAAGATAGCTGTGATGCTGATGGAGAGAGGGCGCCTGCAAGACGGGGACCACGTGGCTCTTGTCTACCCACCAGGTGAAAGACAGATGGGGGTTTGCATCTGAGATGGCAGGGCCAGTGAGTAGTCTACCCGCCGGGTGAAAGGTAGATTGGGGTTTGCTCCAGACAGGGACCATGTGGCTCTCATCTACCTGCCAGGTGAAGGGCACGCCTGGGTTTGCCCCCAAGGTGGCAGGGCCAGCCACTGTGTGAGAGGTGCTTTAGTGCACATGTCATTGCTGATGACCAAGTTGCTGTGTTATCACCAAAAATTAACACAGTTCTACCTGGCTCACTGTGTTTAGTCACCACCACTTTTAGGGACTGTGCTGCATACTATACCCCTTTAGGGGCATAAATAAAGCAATCTTTCATGAAGACTTTTGTATCTAAATTTATTTTATTAGGTATCTGAGGTAGTTCATTTAAGCAATGGTAGTTAATCGCTGACTACTAAATTGATAATCATAGAGTTGAGTAATTCCTTCAACAAATGACAGAAATTAAATTTCTGGCTGCTTTGTCATCACGTACCTAAGTGGGAGCTATTGCAGAAGTTTAACAAAACTCACAGGGATGAGAAGAGAGTCTGCTAAAGGTCTTAGTTGCTCACTTAACCTTGGGACTTTTTCCAGGCTAGTGTTTCTGTGGACAGGGATGACAGCCATTAAACAGTTTGATTTGTTTCAATGAGAGCTTTTGCATTTCTCCCTGTGTAGGAATAGACCTCATTGCAGCATTTTATGGTTGCCTGTATGCAGGCTGTGTGCCAATCACCGTCCGTCCTCCACACCCACAGAACATTGCAACAACGCTGCCAACTGTGAAGATGATCGTGGAGGTAACCCTGCCTGAAGTGTCTGGACACGTTCTCTGGCCCAGACCTGAGTGTTGGGCTTGTGGAGTGCAGAGCCTAGGCCTTGAGGGGGAGGGCTGGTAGTGGGAACATGTGGGAGTGTGAGTCCTGCGGTGGCGCAGGACATGGCCTCTACCCCCAAGGAGCTTACCTTCTGGTTCTGGAAGCAAGATTCCAAACTGTGCTTGGAATTAGGGGCTAAAGGGAATTGAATGCACCCTAGAGAAAGCAGCTTGCCAGAGAGGAGGTCCCACAGACAATGGGAACTTCCCCACCAAACCCAACTGAGTGAACCTAACCAAGTGAGAAAGTCATGTATTTTTTAAAGTTCTTTCCTCAAGATTTAGAAGTATCCTGTTTCTTTTAAAAAGTATAGATTTGTTTTGATTTTTTTAATGCCTGGGGAAGTTTCAGAGGATTAGGATATGTTTTCCCCCTGGAGGAGGAACCATGAGGCACAAGTAAGTTTGGGGACTCCACAAGCGAATACTTTCTATAGTTATGTTGGAATACTTTCATGGTAATTACTCCTGTTAGAACACACTGATGGTGTGTGTGGACATTCATGGCATTTTTCAGAGGACAGAGCTAATGGCAAAAGCAGTTAGTCTGGATGTTTCTCCATCCTGTGATCATAGCACTGTGGATACTACTCAACTCTAGAAATTTCCAGAGGCCTCAGTTCCCACAATCTCTGCATGTGTGCTTCCATGGTCTGATTCCTGGCTCTCTTGTCCCTCTGCTGGCCAGGACTGGCTCCTCTGAGGCAGCAGTGTCTCTGGTAGTCTAACCTGCTCTGAAATCCATGCAACCTCAACGTGCCTCCTGAGCAGCAGGCACGTGTGCAGGGTGTGTTTCCTCCGAGGTTTACCTTCCTTCATCCATCCTTTGTTCTCCGACCCTCAGGTGAGTCGCTCTGCCTGTTTGATGACAACACAACTGATCTGTAAGTTGTTACGGTCCAGGGAGGCAGCTGCAGCTGTGGATGTCAGGGCGTGGCCCCCCATACTAGACACAGGTCAGTCCTCTAACCAGCTGTATACCTTTGTTTGCTTGTCTCCTTTTTCATCAGGTCAGATAGGCTAATAGCTTTATTTTGCTCTCCAGATGATTTGCCAAAGAAGCGGCCTGCCCAGATCTACAAACCCTCCAACCCAGACACGCTAGCTTATCTTGATTTTAGTGTGTCCACGACTGGGATGCTAGCTGGAGTAAAGGTGAGAAGTGCGTCTGCGTGGTGTATTCGCAAGCCACTCAGTGATTGACAGGTTACATCTGTATGTATAGTAGGAGTGTGGTGGGAACTTGAGTGAAACATGGAGAGAGGTATATATACACATTTCCTTCAAGTTATAAAATGCATGAACATTTCAGTAGTTAACTTGGCCAACTGATTCTTTCCAGTGTCCCAGCTATTTCTTTATATAAACAGCCTCACTGGCCCTAATAAAAAACTGCATATATTTTTATTTCTTGCCTGTTCTCAAATCCCAATATTCTGTCTACTGCAAAACTCTGTGCACTGGAGTATCTTGATCTTTTAGCCTGGGCTCTGTTAGAACTTTCCAGATTGGTGCTTGTTGCAGTGACAGTGATCCTTTTTCCTATCAAAGGATGGAACTACTATGTATGTCTCAGAAGTAGGACCATCCTGCTCAGGCGATGTCCTTGTTAAATTCTCTTGTAGCCTCTGGAAGCCCTTTCTCTATTATTTGGCTCTGGGGTCTGACTGCTGAGTTTGCAGAATTTACCTCATTTAGGTCTCTTATGCTATCAACATTTTTTTTTCATATGGTAAAACACATCTAACTTAAGCTTACCGTCTTGACCAATTTAAGTGTACAGGTCAGCGGTATTAAATACGTTCAAAATGTTATGCTGCCATCACCACCATCCATCTCCATAGTTCCTTTCATCTTGTAAAACTGAAACTCCCCGTTAAACACTAACTCCTCATTCCCACCTCCCCCAATCCTGGCAACCACGATTCTAGTTTCTGTCTCTGAAAATTTGACTACTCTAGGTACCGCATATAAGTGGAATGCTACAGTATTTGTCTTCTTGTGTCTGGCCTGTTTCACTAGGATAATGTCTTTAAGGTTCATCCATGTTGAAACAGGGGTCAGAATTCCTTTTTAAGGCTGAGTTAATATTCCATTATATGTATATACCACATTTTCCTTATCCATTCACCTGTCAATGGACACCTAGGTTGCTTCCATGTTTTATCTATTGTGAATAGTGCTGCTGTGAACACAGGTGTACAAATATCTCTTCAAGATACTACTTTCACTTCTTTTGAGTATAACACCAGAAGTGTAATTCTTGGATCATGTGATAATTCTATTTTTAATTTTTTGAAGAACTACCATGTTGTTTTCCACAGCAGCTGTACCATTTTATCTTCTCACCAACAGTGCACGAAGGTTCCAAATTCTACACATTCTCACCAACACTTGTAGTTTTCTGAGGATTTTTTAATAATAGCCATGCCCATGGGTATGAGATGGTATCTTACTGTAGTTTGATTTGCATTTCCCTAATGATTAGTGATTTGAGCATCTTTTCATGCGGTTATTGGCCCTTTGTATATCTTCTTTGGAGAAATATCTATGCAAGTCTTTTGCCCATTGTGGAATCAGTTATTCTTTTGTTGTTGAGTTTTAGAAGTTCTCTATATATTCTGGATATTAATCCCTTATCAGATATATGATTTGAAAATATTTTCTCCCATTCTTTGGGTTGCCTTTTTAGTCTGTGGATGGTGTCTTTTGATGCACAAAATTTTTTGACTTTCATGAAGTCCAATTTTGCCCTTTTTTTCTTTTTTTGCCTCTGCTTTTGATATCATATCCAAGAAATCATTGCCAAATTCAATGAAGTAAAGCTTTTGTCATATGTTTTCTTCTAAAAGTTTTATTGTTTTAGATCTTACATTTAGGTTTTTGATCTATTTTTGAGTTAATTTTTGTTTATGGCGTTAGCTAAGGGTCCAACTTCATTCTTTTGCATGTGGCTGTCCAGTTTTCCCAGCACCATTTGTTTAAAAGACTTGTCCTTTCTCCATGAAATGGTTTTGGCACCCTTGTCAAAAATCATTTGACCTTGTATGTGAGGGTTTATTTCTGGATTCTCTATTCCCTTGATCCATATGTCTATCTTTGTGCCATAACTTTGTAGTAGGTTTTGAAATCAGGAAGTTGAGTCCTCTGGCTTTGTTCTTCTTTTTCAAGATTATTTTGGTTGTTTAGGTTTCCTTGAGATTCTATATGAATTTTATCATGAGTTTTTATAGTTCTGCAAAAAGATCATTGAGATTTTGATAGAGATTACATTGTATTTTTATTGTTTTGGGTAGTATTGACATTATGAATATGGGATATGTTTTTATTTATTTATATCTTCTTTAATTTCTTTCAGCAATGTTTATGGTTTTCATTGTACAAGCCTTTCACCTCCTTGGTTAAGTTAATTCCTAAGTGTTTTGTTCTTTTGTATGCTATTGTAAATGGAATTGTTTTAATTTCCTTTTCAGATTTTTCATTTGGTTTATAGAAATGCAACCAGTTTTTGTGTTTTGACTTCTTATCCTACTACCGAATTCATTTATGATTTCTAAAAATTTTTTTGTGGAATCTTTAAGGTTTTCTACATGTAAGATCATATCATCTGTGAACAGAGATTATTTTACTTCGTTCTTTCCAATCTGGATGCCTTTTATTTATTTTTCTTACCTAATTGCTCTGGTAGAACTTCCAGTATTATATTTAATAGAACTGATGAAAGCAGGCATCCTTGCCTTTTTCCTGATCTTGGAGGAAAAGCTTTCAGTTTTTCACCATTGAGTATGATGTTTGCTGTGTGTTTTTCATATGTGGCCTTTTTTATTTATTATGTTGAGGTATTTTCCTTATATTCCTAGTCTGTTGAGTGTTTTTTTAATCATGAAAGGATGTTGAATTTTGTCAGATGCTTTTTCTGCATCAGTCGAGGTGATCATGTGGGTTTTTTCTTTCATTCTCTTAATATGATGTATTACATTGATTGATTTTCATATGTTGAGCCATCCTTCCATTCCAGGAATAAATCCCACTTGGTTGTGGTCTTATAAGCCTTTTAATATACCACTGAATTCAGTTTGCTAGTATTTTGTTGAGGATTTTTGCATCAGTGTGGGATATGGTTTGTAGTTGTCTGTTCTTGTAGTGTCTTTGTCTGGCTTTGGTATCAGGGTTATGCTGACATCATAGAATGAGTTAGGAAGTGTCATCTCCTCTTCAATTTTTGGAAAAAATTTGAGAAGGATTGGTGTTAGTACATCTTTAAATGTCTGGAGGCATTCAACAGTGAAGCCATCAGGTCCAGGACTTTTCTTTGTCAGGACTTTTTTTTTGACTGATTTGATCTTCTTACTAGTTATAGGTTTATTCAGAGTTTCTGCTCTTCGTGATTTAGTCTTGGTAGGTTTTATGTTTCTTCTTGATAGTTTGTCTTTCAAATTCCATGAAATAGAATTTCTCTGTTTCATGTAGGTTGTGCAGTTTGTTGGTGTACAGTTGTTCATAGTATTCTCCTATAATTCTTTTCATTTTTGTAGAATCAGTAGTAAATTTCCCCATTATCATTTCTGATTTTCATAATTAGAGTCTTCTCTCTTTTTTTCTTAATTCATCTAGCTAGAGGTTTGTTAATTTTGTTGATCTTTTCAAATAAGCAACTTTGGGTTTGCTTGATTATCTTTACTATTTTCTATTCTCTGCGAGTATTTGTTTATCTCTGCTCTAATCTTTATTATTTTCTTCCTGCTGCTAGTTTGGGTTTAGTCTGTTCTTCTTTTTCTTGTCCCTTAAGTTGTAAAGTTAGATTGTTGATGTGAGATCTTTCTTGGTTTTTTAATGTAACTATTTATAGCTATATATTTTTGCCTTGACACTGCTTTTGCTGTGTCCCATAAGTTTGATACGTTCAGTTTTCATTTTCATTTGTGTCTAAGTATTTTCTGATTTTCCTTGTGATTTCTTCTTTGATTCATTGGTTGTTTAAGAGTGCTTTGTTTAATTACACAAATTTATGGGCACTGTAGAATGTCTGATTTAGTATAAAACCCATGAGTATATGTTTATATGTTCAATTTAAGTTTTATAATACTATCTGTTTAAAAGTATAATTCGAACTCTGAAGGTCCCTAATAGATTCTAGATATACATTTGCTCAACATCAACAAGGAAGTCCTATAGAGGACCCATATAGCATCTACAGTTTACTTTAGATTAATCACCTTGCAGGTTTCCCCATGGGCTATTTTAGAACTTGTGGTGGCTCTCCCTTCCATGGAGTATGATTCTGGAAACACTTTCCTGCCCACTTTCAGCTGATGTGTGCAGCTGATGTTGGCCCAGGGAATATACACTTTTTTTAACATTAGCCAAAGCAGAACTGTCCTGGAAGGTAGACCTGCCCAAGATAAGTCACAAGGTGCATGCTGAAAATAAATACAGTTGACCTCATCCCTAATTCCTCGCATTGATATACCTACTCTCAATGTCTCTTTTAAAGTAGAGCATTAGAGTTTGTTGTTTGGGGCTTTTGGAAAACCAGTTCTTTAGCCAAGTATGAGTTTGTCTTCATAAGAATTAGGAGTTTTTCTTACTAAGAGGTTCTAAAAAAACATTCCAACTTGGGCTCTTAGTTTGTCATGTTGGCAGGGTCCAAGGTTGGAATAAGCTTAGAGATTGGATATTCAACTTTCCTACCTGCTTTTTTTCTTAACCTGTTGCCTCCTTGTCACTATGGTGAAATCTGTTATTGCTTACTCATCCTCAAGAGCCCAGAACCCTCTGACCCCCAGGGTGACGTAAAGATCCTCTCTCTGATCTCTTCACACTCTGCACACTTTGTCAAAGCGCTCACAGATCCTGCAGTTATCAGTGTAAGTCTCTGAACCTCCCTCTAGATTGTAAGCTCCTGAGAGCAGAGACTGTTTTATTCCTTTTATATCCCGAGCAACTAATACAGTGCCTGATACATAATGAGTTCTCAATTACTATATTCATATTTGCCGAGCTGAGCTAAAGAACTCAGTTCTTAAGCTATAAACATTGCCTCTACAGAGCACGGGGTCAGTAAAGGTTTGTTTTAGCTACTGTTTTGAGCAGGTAAGTAATTTTGGTAGTTACGGTTTTACTAACTCCTGACCCAGGAGCAGGAGGGTGAAGGAATGTTTCATAAATCCAGCCTCATTTCTTCTTTAAACAAATATTGTGGTTTTAAAAGCAAGCTAAAAAGAACCCCTTATGTGTTAGAACCTAGAGTAATTCTGCATTACCTTGTATGAATTCAGTAGAATATCCACGATGAAACTTTCTTCCAGGGAGAGCTTCAAACAGTGATCCTATGTGTCACCAAGGGAAGGATCCCCCACTGATGGTTTCTCTCACATCCTTCACTCAGATGACTAATGAACAAAAATAGGGAGCTCTTCACTGTAGTGTTGATGATGGGGGGTGAGATTGGATTTTGGCTGCCATCAAATGACTAGTATATCTCACTGCACCAGCCTCTGATTCTGGCTCAAATGTGTGTGACCTTCAACAAACTCTTTACCTCCTCTGAGCCTCATTTCCTAATCATTGAGACGGAGGTTGTTCATCCAGCATGCCCTGCTAACCTCCTGTTACAAAAGATTCAATGTTGGGCCTGGAGACAGGACATGAGTGGTAATATCTCCCCACCTACTTCACAGGCTGCAGTGAGGATTACAATAAACCCCTGTTTGGACTAACCTGCTATTCAAATGCAGGATATCATTACTTCAGTTGCTGAAGTTATTAGGTCCTGGGGGACCAGGAAGTTTTCAGTGTGGTTTACTCATTGAAAATGGGGAGGCTAGTGGACGGCCTGGTGGCGCAGCAGTCAAGTTCGCACCTTCTACTTCTCGGCGGCCCGCAGTTCACTGGTTCGGATCCCGGGTGCGGACGTGGCACCGCTTGGCAAAAAGCCATGCTGTGGTAGGTGTCCCACATATAAAGTAGAGGAAGATGGGCATGGATGTTAGCTCAGGGCCAGTCTTCCTCAGCAAAAAGAGGAGGATTGTCAGTAGTTAGCTCAGGGCTAATCTTCCTCAAAAAAAAAAAAGAAAAAGAAAATGGGAAGACTAATGAGAACATCAGCAGCCCACTCTCTCCTAAGTCACAAAACCAGAGCTTGGCTACAATTGTCCCTGTCCTGAAATCACCTCTGGGCACTGATTGTCAGGTCTCATGCATTTAATGCAGCCTTGTTCTGTTACAGATGTCTTTAGGATAAGTGTCAAGCTCCATGCATTTAATGCGGCCTTGCTGTCTTGCAGATGTCTTTAGGATGGGTGTCAGGCTCCAGGCATTTAATGCAGCCTTGTTCTGTTACAGATGTCTTTAGGATGGGTGTCAGGCTCCAGGCATTTAATGCAGCCTTGTTCTGTTACAGATGTCTTTAGGATGGGTGTCAGGCTCCATGCATTTAATGTGGCCTTGCTATCTTGCAGATGTCTCATGCAGCCACCAGTGCCTTTTGCCGTTCTATTAAGCTGCAGTGTGAGCTCTATCCCTCAAGAGAAGTGGCCATCTGCTTGGACCCTTACTGTGGACTTGGGTTTGTCCTATGGTGCCTCTGCAGGTGAGTTTCCTCCTGAATATCTTTAAAATAACAAGTAAATCATACACCCTCTTTCTAGAACACCATGGAGGGCCACCTCTGGAGGAGGCCCAGCCACAGCAGAATCGCACAATGACCTCAGCCCGGCTCTCGAGGTGAAGCAGGTACACCTGCAGTGGTATTCCATGTTCTTTACGGCATCTGAAAAAATTAGTGTCCCTGAAGTTTGCTGAAACCAACAGAGAAGATGAGAGGTCTGCTGGAGGACTCCGGGGCTTAGGCTTGGTTCTTTTGCCTTTCAGTCCTGCCATTTGTCTCTGGGCTGGAATATGTGTTAAATCAGTGGGCGTTACAGGTTCTCTCCTCCTTCAGGCTTCTCCCTGATCTAGGTGGGGAGGCACTTCAGCTGAGGGGAGGTCAGGACCAAGCTCCATGAGGGTCCCCCTCCTGCCCCCCATGGTCCACTGCCCACAGTCAGCAGCCCCGTGCCCAGCTCATAGCAGATGTTAGCAAGTATTTATGGAATGAATGAGGGAGGAACACATGGATATTTATTGGCGTTTTTTTCTGATTATATGTATATGTTCGTTGTAGAAAATTTAGAAAATACAAAATAATATAAAGAAGAAAATAAAACCATCGATAATCGTACCACCTAGTGATACCAATAAATATTCACTATTAGCATTTTGGCATATAGTCTTGCAGAGTTAATTTTCTAATGTAGCATATTATTTTTTATTATTAACATGTTTAAACATATGTTAGTGTATAAAGAATGCTGTAATAAACACCACTGCCCTCTTTCTAGCTTCACGTGGATCAACAGTTTGCTAATTTTGTTTCATCTATCCTTACAATTTTTTTCTGTCCCTTTTTCAAATAGGACATTTTAAAGCAAACATCAAACATATATAATTTCACCCATAAACCCTTATGTCCACATACAGTTTGTAAATGTACATTAATATATTTATAAAACTGAGATGCTACAGTATGAAATTGGTTATTTTTTTCTTAATAGTCTATAGTAGACTTTCTCATGTCTTCAAACACTCTTCTAAAACAATTATTTAATAGTACTAAATTGGATTAAAATCTAATTCTGTATTTTTGAACAAGACTGACATTCCAATTAAGACAATTAAACTTCTTGAGAAAGCAAATAGAATTGAACAATTGAAATATTTTAATGATTTTTGCCTCAATCCAAAGTGCAATAGCATTATGGGTAGTTTTTTTGCTTGGGGAGTAGTTCAGAGTGTACTATTCCAAGAGTAGGGCCAAAGAGACCTTAGACATATTTAGCCAACTGAGAAGGAAGCCACTTCTGAGCTACTGACTTTATAGGACAGTTGTCTGTATGTTGCTTGCAAAGGTACCGGTGATGCTGAGGCCAGTAAGTGGAGTACTTCATGGTTCTGCAGGCTCACCGAGCCTGACCCCACAAAATCAGCAGAGAAGGTGCTTGGTGAAGGGAAAGTAAGTTCTTAATGTGCATCACTACTAGCCATGGGGACTCTTTAAAGGGATTGTGCAGAGAGGGTTACAGCAAACCTTTACTTAGTGAACGTCTGTCCTACAAATTCATTCAGAAGTCAGGAGATCGCAGTGTTGTTGATTACAACACTACAAATAAATATATAAGATAATACAAATAAATACATAAATACGAAAACCTCTTTGTTCTGAAAGCCTCTATAGAAACAGATCCCAATGGACTTCTTAAGAAAAAAGAAAAACTGGACCTGGGAGCAGCCACCCCAGCATCCATAAATACTGTGAATACTATTTTCCTTTCAAATGAGCTAGGGCTTCTTCGAGAAATGGACAGTTTCAGGGCTGGACAGGAAATGTCCAAGATGACCCTGGAATATCTTTGTTATGCAGGAAAGCAAGGAAGTGCTCAAAGAATGATGGGGACATGTCAAAAGGACAGAAGAGCCAGCTTAAAGGGACTCTCACTGGCCAAATCAGGGATAATTCAAGTGTCAAAATATGTAAAGACCACAACAGATTATAACTCTTTGAATGAAAAACAGGAAATTATCTGACTATTCAGATATAAATAGAAGAACACATTGAAAGCCTGGTGAGGAACAGGGATTTACATGATAGCCATCCACAAAACAGTTGTTAATATAAAGGGGAGAAGAGAACCTTCATGATGGCAAAGCCTAAATCAAGATCAAAGTGAACCTCATAGACCTGAAACCATAAGGCTTCTGGAAGAAAACGTAGGCAGTACACTCTTTGACATCAGTATTAAAAGGATCTTTTCGGACACCATGCCTTCTCAGAGAAGGGAAACAATAGAAAGAATAAACAAATGGGACTTCATCAGATTAAAGAGCTTCTTCAAGGCAAATGAAAACAGGATTGAAACAAAAAAACAACCCACTAACTGGGAAAAAATATTTGCAAGTCATATATCTGACAAAGGCTTAATATCCATAATATATAAAGAGCTCTCGCAACTCAACCACAAAACATCAAACAACCCAATCAAAAAATGGGCTGGAGACATGAACAGACATTTCTCCAAAGAAGATATACTGATGGCCAATAGGCACATGAAAAGATGCTCATCATCGCTGATCATCAGGGAAATGCAAATCAAAACTACACTAAGATATCACCTTACACCCGTTAGAATGACAAAAATATCTAAAACTAATAGCAACAAATGTTGGAGAGGTTGCGGAGAAAAAGGAACCCTCATACACTGCTGGTGGGAATGCAAACTGGTGCAGCCACTATGGAAAACAGTATGGAGATTCCTCAAAAAATTAAAAATAGAACTACCATACGATCCAGCCATCCCACTACTGGGTATTTATCCAAAGAGCTTGAAGTCAGCAATCCCAAAAGTCCTATGCACCCCAATGTTTATTGCAGCACTGTTTACAATAGCCAAGACGTGGAAGCAACCTAAGTGTCCAGCCACAGACGAATGGAGAAAGAAGATGTGGTACATATATACAATGGAATACTACTCAGCTGCAAAACAGAACAAAATCATTCCATTTGCAACAACATGGATGGACCTTGAGAGAATTATGTTACGTGAAATAAGCCAGCGAGAGAAGGACAATCTGTGTATGACTCCACTCATATGAGGAATTTAAAATTATGGACTAAGAACAGTTTAGTGGATACCAGGGGAAAGGTGGGGTGGGGGGTGGGCACAAAGGGTGAAGTGGTGCACCTACAACATGACTGACAAACATTAATGTACAACTGAAATTTCACAAGATTGTAACCTATCAATAACTCACTTAAAAAAAAAAGATCAAAGTGAACCTCATGGACGATGGGACACAGGGCACTTGTGCATCACTCAGAGGGCTGCAGTGAGGAAAACAGCACGTCTGGAAAATTCCTGCCAAAGATGCTTCACCTGAATCTAATCGTGGGAACATAATGTGACAGCGTAATTACACACAATGTGTAATCTTCACAAATGCCAGGGTCATGGAGCCAAAGAAACACTGAGGAACCAGCTGGACGGGGCTGACAGCTTAAACGCAGGGTGCGACACTGATCTGGATCCTTTCACTATAGAAGATATCCTTACGACAACTGGGAAACTTGAATAGGGTCTGAGGCTCAGATGGGAGAAATGTATCAACTCATTTCCTGATTTTGATGTCTTACTTAGCTTATGGAGGAAATATACTTGTTCGTTGGAAATACCCCCTAAAGTATTTGGAGTTGATGGGGCATCAGGTCAGTGACTCACCATCAAATGATTTGGGGGAAGAAGCTATTTTTACTGTACTTGTAACGTTCTGTAACTTTGTGTTTATTTCAAAGTTAGAAAATATTCAAGGGCCCTGGTGGCCTAGTGATTAAATTTGGTGCACTCCATTTCAGCAGCCTGGGTTCAGTTCCTGGGTGTGGACCTACACCACTCATCTGCCAGTGGCTGTGTTGTGGTAGCAGCTCACATGCAATAAGAGGAAGATTGGCAGTGGATGTTAGGTCAGGGCGAATCATCCTCAGCAAAAAAAAAAATGTTTAATACAAATAGTTCTTTTCTATATCTTCATCCTAAAGTTCCCTTCAATCATAAAATAGAAGACTGAGAATCATTAATGTAATAGAATTGTTCATCTGGGAATCATTAATAGAATTGTTTCAAAATATTTTCTAAGATCATACATGTTTTAAAAAACCTATCAGATAGTTCATATTCATGGATTAGAAGATTCGATATTGTTAAGATGGAAATTCTCCACAAATTGGTATATAAGTTCAATATAATCCCTGTCAAAATCACTATAGGTTTTTTTTGCAGAAATTAACAAGATAATCCTAAAATATATATATAAAGGACCCACAATATCCAAAACAGTTTCGGAATAGAATGACAAAATTGGAGAACTCAGACTTCCTGCTCTCGAGAATTACAATAGTAACCAAGACAGTGCCGTCCTGGCAAAGAGATAAACATATATATAAAACAACCAATGAAACAGAATTGAGAATCCAGAAATAAACCCTTATACTTATGATCATTTGATTTTTCAACAAAGGAACCAAAGCAATTCAACAGGGAAAGGATAGTCTTTTTCAACAAATGACACTGGGAAATTTGGACATCCATGCAAAAGATTAATTTAAATCTTTACTTTACATCATATACATAAATTAACTTGAAGTGGATCATAGACCTTAATGCAAGAGCTAAAACTATAAAACTTCTAGAAGAAAACATAGGAGTAAATCTTCATAACCTTGGGTTAGACAAAGACTTCTTAGATATTACACCAAAGGTTCAGTACATAAAAAAAATTGATAAATTGGACTTCAACAAAACTAAAAGCTTTTGAACATTAAGAAGGCACCATTAAGAAAGTAAAAAGACCAGCCAGCCACAGATTGGGAAAAAATATTTGCAAATCATATATTGATAAAGTTGATTCCAACCAGATATAATACAAATTCTTAAAACTCAGTAAGGAGGGGCCGGTGTGGTGGCACAGCAGTTAAGTTCACACGTTCCACTTCAGCAGCCC